ATTATACCACTGCTGTAAAAAGGTTACCGGTACCACTTGGCTTCGGTTAAGTATTTTTTAAATACACATGAAGATAAATCTTTGGCTCTTAAAACAACCGCGTTCACCTTTGTCCCACTTCTGCTTGCTCTTTTCATTGACCTGGTAAATGTTCTGCGGGACCCTAGGGAAGGCGGTGTAAGAGGTGGTCTATGTGGCACAAAGATATCCCCCCAAAGAAGACAAATTAGATTTTGATCCCAGTATCTATTAAGGCGCCTCTTAGCTGAGCAGTGGTATGAAGGGTTCTGGTTCCACCCAGAGCTTCGACAGGACTGAGTTACTTGGGGCGTATTTTCTCCCCATGACATTCGCCTTCTAATAATAAATCGACAGATGTAGTTGTCTTGCTCTGCCTTTACCATGACATTTGCTGTCACTTCACACGTTTATGTTTGTAGACGCAGCCAAGAAACAGTCTTATCAGTGGAGGATTCCACCCGCACCCTTGGCCTCAGTAGAACTGCGTCCCAAAAGCCAGCAAGCATGAGCTCAGGCACTGTTTGCTTCCTGCTGGCATGTTCTGAAACTGGGCTCCAGCCAGGAGGCATCTCGCAAAACCTACCTGCTCACCTTTATTCTCATTTTTGGCCTTTCTGGAGATTTGGTAGGGGGAGGTGGTCTCTTCTGCTATGCTCTCTGTTCTTGATGGGATGCCAGAAAGGAGCCTGTGCCTACAATTATGTATTCATACACGTGGCACAGTGCTCTTCATGGAGCTCAAGAGCAAGCAAAACTAAGCCAGTAGATACATGGCAAAGCTAAAACATCTGCAGTGTTGTGGTAAACCCAAGATTCTGTATTTGGTTACCTCTGGTGAGGAAGGCAGCAAGGAATGGGAGAGGACATTCCAGTAGATGAACTTCTTGGCTGTGTTGTTTCTTAGATAGTATTTTTAAATACTAAATTTAAAGAGTACATACTCAGACTGTCTCCATGGGTTAGTGACATGGGGCAGTTGCAAGTGATCCAAGGCATTTGGAGAACAGACCCACTGTGTAAAAGGAGATTGTTTTTAGGCCACACTGTTGCTGACCAGTGTGGCAGGACTTTGCTCACCTTTCTTCTTTTTATAGGAATTAAGAAGTGTCCAGAAGAGTTCTTTGCACATACTAGGCCCTCAGTAAAAATTTGTTGAATATTTTTTTCATGCGTATGTTTTTAAACTTGTTGTTATGGAAATTTTCAAGCGTACCAAGGCAGAGATGAGGCCCGCCAGCCCCACAGCAAAGCTGCAGCGCCTGCATCTTCTGCTCTTCTGGTTGCCTGTGTCACTACCCCTACTCCCAACCTTTTCTCCGGGATTCTTTTAAAGCAAATCTCAGAAATCATAGTGTTTTACCCTTGGCAGTTTTGGACAATAGAGTGAGTTCTCCTGCTCTGGATTTGTGGTCCTGTAACACCTAATGGTCCATTCTTTTGGGATATGTTGAAGCCGCCCTCTTCCCCCTCGAAGACAGCATGTCAGGAAAATTAAGCCAACTTTCCTCTTCTCTTCGCCATGAGGTATTTGATCTTCCACAGACGTGTCCTCAGCTGCACCTTTGTGCTGGGCACTGTGCTAGCTCCTGGGAATTGCTGACGAGCAAGGAAGCCAGTGGCCTGGGGCCTCTTCGGAAATGCAGGCTGATCAACAGTTAGGGGAGTGGACCCTTGCACTTGTGAGCCTGAGGGGCTTCCTAAAGCTACCTACCTCCCATCTTTTGGGCCCTTTTTTATGACTCCCAAGTTGATCATTGGCAATTCCCCCCATTGCTAAGGCAGAATTTTCAGCAGCACCCTGGCAGATTGCGGTTCTGCTTTTTCTGAAAGAAGGCACGTTGAGAACATATCAAGCTCAAATCAGTGTGATAGCAGTTGTCACCATCCGTGTGGAAAGATTTGGCCCCGGCCAGCTGCCGGGCCTCTTTGCACTATATTAATAGCAAGGCCATGGAGCCCACTGGGGTCGGAAGCCAGGGAGAGGAGGACAGCTGTGGCGGACATCACACCATGCTCCAGGCATGTGCTCCCGTGTCCTGGGCACACAGGCGGCCTGCACCTTGCCCTGCCGCTCAATAGCCCCCCGAGCTACTGCCTGCCTTCTCCTTATAGGGACAGAAATGGGCTCACGCTGATGATCCATTTGACAAAGCAGCCAAATTGAGATTGGCGTGACTGGAATAGAGGGTTCAAATGGCCCTGTGTTCTGGGTCATCTTATACTTTTATTGGTAGCACAGGCATGCGGGCCGAATGAGGTAGTGGTATTTAAACAGCTGGGGATATTGAATTCTATATGCCAAGGCTGGACAGATATTTTCAAATGTCACAGGCCAAATGGAAGCTCATTTGGCAGCAGGATAGAGGGGCAGGGGGATTTGGAGGCCACTGCATCACCATGGCTAGATATGGTTAGGAGAGCTGGGCAGGATTAGGGCCTGGGAAGAAGCCCAGCCTCTGAAGTGCCCTGAAGAGGTAGCAGGAAGGATCATATGAGTAAGCGGTAGGCGCCAGGGGTGGCGGGGGACAAGAGGGCAGATGCCAAGGCCAGGGGCAGATGGAACTGTGTGTGGGCGCCAAGGAACAGGGCCAGAGGGGAGAGGTCAGGGCTGAGACCCCAGCTCAAAGGAATGGAGGGAGAGAACCTGTGGTTCAGGGTTCTGGCATCAAGGAGAAGTGAGCACCAACCTCAGACCCACTTTCCACCCTGGGGCCTCCAGACAACTTATTTGTCTGCCCAGGCAGTTTCCGTACTTCGGCAAAGGGGCCAGGCGAGGATTAAGGCAAACAGCACCTGACACTGAGGAGGGTGGCCCTAAGTGGTTGTCGCTATTATTCGTAGTAAAAATTAATTTGTGAACAACCGCCATTGTGGAGTAGAGTTGGAAACTGCCCTCTAGGCCGAATCCCACCCAGAGACGTGGTGTGTTTCAACTGCACAGTTGTTCTTTTTTTTTAAAGTATGAGTGATGATAACCGCCAACATTTAGATGTTAGGAGATTTTACGGAAACCTTTGGATATTTGACTTCTGGCCTGGCGGAGCCTCTAGTTCTCCGGATCCTGCCTTCTGCCTGTCCTGAGACAGCCGCAGCTGAGGGGCGGCCGCCCCCTGTTGGCCAGCAGCACACCCACCACTGCGCCTGCCACCACCTGGGCCCGTCACTCATCTCTGAGTGGGGCCTGTCCTCCGTAGGCATTTGCACTTGCTCACCCTGCAGTAAGTGGAGCTATTATTATCTTAGAAGGAACAAGGGTCATCAGAATTAGGCAGGGACCCAGCAGCTGAGTTGCTGGCTGGGGCCTCCTTGACTTTGCTGTGACATTGCTCTGGGAGACCTGGGCTCATGGAGGGACATTGAGGGGCTGGGCCTGGGGAGGGAAGGGAGAGGAGAGGGGGCAGTGAGCTTTCACCAGTGCCTGGGCCAGTCCCCTGGAGCCAGCGTGGCTGCCTTTTTCCTCTTTATGGCCCCTTAGTAACCTGAACAGAAACACAACAGGGTTAGGGCAGTTACCATGGTAACGTAATATCTGCAAGTCCCTTGGCCTCCCTCATCCTCCACTGGGTGGGAACTGACTTAGGAAGGGCTAGGAGAGGCCAGGGGGCCATCTGAACCTGGGCCTCGCTTCTCACACAGGGCAGGAAGAAAGGAGGGGTGGTAGACAGGGAGAGTTTCTCTTGAGGTCTCAAGTAGCTCCTTTGGGGTCTCAGGTGGCCTGTGAGTTAATCCCTATTCATATTCAGAATTTCCTTCTCTTCCTTGGAGGTTGAGACCTCTTTCTTGTTCTTCCCGGCCGCTGGGAAGAAACTGTGGTAGTTGTGACCGTAGCTAGGCCTTAACAACTTCAGGACCATCTATGTGAAGGCTAGGACATCCTCTCACCTTTCAAGGACTGAGTCTTGTCCTGTGGGCCTCAAGGGACACACTAGGGTTAGCTGTTCACACACAACTGCCCCATACTCAGTTTTTGGCACAGAGAAGTCCTTCCTTTTACTGACTTGTTTGTGGTGCCCGCCATGTCCTAGGCAAGATGTGAGTGGGGCGGGGAGGAGCAGGGGTGGTCGTGGGGGCAGGGCATGGCCAAGCAGTGTTGGATTCCGAGTGCAGTGAGAAGCCCTGGGCGCGCTAGCCTGGGCACAGGAGTCCTCCCTGGCTGCTGTGTGGAGCTGAAAGAGCTAGAGGAGCGGCAGGGAGACCAGTTGGCCTGGGCGAGGCCTGTCAGTGGCAACTGTGCCTTTAGGCAGCAGCAGCACTTGCTGGTGGACGTCTGGATGAGCTTAGAGGTGACTTGATTTGATGGACGCAGCTGAGCTGCCCTCCACTGGGTAGTTGGGGGTCTGTTCACTGAAGAGGTCCAGTCTGGGAAAGGGTTTTCCTTCTCTGAGGCCTCTTCTTTGACAATGTAGAGAAGAGTCCCTTGTACTTCTGGAATCTTCCTCAACACTCTGGAGCTCAGCCTTTTGCCAGAGCTGGTTCCTTACAACCTGGAGAACAGACATGGGCTCAGGTGAGGCAGCCTTGGAGAGCTGCCTGAGCTGGTTGGAAGATCACAGAGCTGCCAAGCAGGCTGGGGTTCCGGAGACTCCGCCTAGGCTGTGGACAGTGGCGGGCACAGCTCATCCTCATCCTCTTGACAGTAGGCAGGGCCTTGTGGGTTTCCCCATTTTTATATCTCAGTAGATGAGGAAATTGAGCCTTGCCTGGCCAGTGCCTGAGGCCAGTCTCTAGTCCCGTGATGAAAATGACAGGCAGCTGGTGTCACCAGGTGAGGTGCAGCGGGCAGCTGGTGCTTACCATGTGGACACCACGAAGTGGTCTCCTTGGCGTACCTGGGGCTCCCACTGAGCTGTCGTCTTACTCTGGGTGATTGGTATTCTTGGGGGTTCTAGCAGTGGTGGCACAAAGTGCCCAAGTCCCCACCACTAGGCGGCATAGCTGCAGTCATGATGCTGATGGGGCTGTTCTTGCCCTTTTCTCAGGAGAGTAGCCTGGTGGGGGTTCCTAGGGCCCCTTTACCCCGGATACCTCTTGGACCCAATACCAGTCCCAGCTGTTCCATCCTGCTCTAGGGGCATTGGTAAGTCATGTCACCCATGTGGACCTGGGTTTGTTGTCAGTTATAAGGGCTGGAATCAGAGATAGATGGATGTCCACCTGGTCTGTGGCTTCATGATAGCCTAAGTCACAGACTTAGCTGCCTCATATTTGCTTTGGTCCCCATTCCTGTCCCAGCTCTACATGGTCAACAGAGCGCCATAACCCCACCCCCTTTCTCTGGCCAACCAAAAGGATTACAGAAAAGGCTTCTTTAAACCTCACTTCCTGCACTCCATTCTTGCCAGGCTGAGGGCCCCAAAGAAGTCAGCTCTGGGCAGATGACTTGTCTAAGATCATGCACAAAAGCCTTGGAGATGGGCCTTCATACCTACTTAATTAACAACCTCTCCTCCTCCTCAGAAAGGAGGCCACATTTTTGAAACCATGACTACTTCTCTCTTAAATCAACAACAGACAACAGCCTAACGATTGCCCATAAATGCAAGTTCCTCTGGCTGTTTTGGCCATTGGAAGCAAGATATCAAGTTGAAGTGTGGCCATGGGAGGTTGCTCAGGGTGTGTGTGTGTGTGTGTGTGTGTGTGTGTGTGTGTGTGTGTCTGCTTTTGTTTATCTTGTTACTCCCTTGACCCTGTTGCTGTTTTTTTACCCCAGGCCTTTCTGCTTGCAGGTGTCTCTGGAGTCTTCAGCAGCTGGGCCACCTGGGAGGCTCTGGGACTTTCTGGTGTGGTGCCACTGTGCCTCATCAGTGCCACCTCCCAGGTTTGAAACCTGTGGCACTTCAGCTTCTTCTGAGTGAAAGTTTAACCTTTGCCCCCTGAAGGAAAGGTTTGCTAAGTGAAGAGAATTTGGGGAATAAGATCCTTGTGGAGGTAAGAGCTGATCTTCAGCCGCCACCAGAACCCAACTCCTGACCGGTCTGTGTATCACGGCACCTGCATGCCAGTTAGAGTTGAGGCACGCCTGGTTTAGAATGAAGGCTTGGCAAGGCAGCCTCTTGGAAGCACCTTGTCAGAGCTTACTTGAGATTTAACACTGGGCTTCTTTAGAGACAGCCTGATTAATTCATGTTGGTGACCCCACCACCCAGAGCACCTAAAATTAGAGGATTTACTGTACCAGGTTACTGTACTGCCACACCATGTCACGCAGTAAGTGGGAAACTCCAAACCAGCTGCTATAAAAAAAAAAAATTAACAACAGAGCATTCATAGAGCAGATACTTTGCACTGCTACATAATAAACGATCCCATTGAATGCAGGCAGCCACTGGTTCATCCACCTGCTCCCTGTCTGCCCTGATGCTGGGCCAGTAACACTTGTGGCCTCCTCCCCACAAAGAGAACCCTGGAGAGGCAGAAACAGCCTGAGCCTCACCATTGCTCCTTTCCCCGCAACCCTGTAGAGTTCTCCTCAAAGGCCTCCTCCTCCAGCTGGCTGAGTTTGCAATTTCCTATCTGTTCTCTGCCCAGCGAGTGTTCTAAAGCAGAGTGACCAGCCTCATGCTGGCAGTTCTCATCAGCCGGGCCCATTATCCTAAAATCTCCAAAATCAGCTATGTGGACCTGACCGTAGAGGCCTGTCAGCGCTGGAGGACATGGGAGAAAAAGCTTAGGCCTTTATCGGAAGCAAGGCTGTTCTAGTCGTCTTCCTGGACCACGAGGAACTTGCCTGTTGCTTTGCTTAGGACTGAGCTGACAGCTGCGTTCTGATTTGCAGCCATTGTTCAGAGCAAGGCAGGGTTCTCCACCACGGCAGCACTGAGTTAGGCCGCGGTTCGTAGGGTCTCCAGGGCGCCACACAGAGCAGCATCGTTATTAGCACACACCCGCCACTCACATCAAGGTAGCCGACGACCTTCAGAGAAGAGCCTTCAGCGGATGAAATGTCGAGGAGAGCGGTAGCGTGTGAGGCCCAGCAGAGTTAGGACGTTCTTTCCATAGTGCCTGAGCCCGCTCCAAGGCCCATGGCAGACCCATGTTCAGAGGCCATTGCTTCAAAGTGCACAGTGACACCTGTGCACAGGGCGGCGGGGAGGCAGGCTTGGTCGTGGGTGTTTGAGTGGGAAGGTCCACGGGAAGGTGCTGCGGGGCCAGTCCTGGGTTGATGATCACGTAAGACCTTGTGCAGAGAGGGGCTGTTAGTGTCTTTCTGGGGTCCCTCTTGGGCCACGGGGATGGGACAGGGCTGGGAGGGCTACGGAGGGGAGATCCTGAGTTGGATTACAAGACCGACCCAGCCTCATGTGCAAGGTGAAGAGAAAGACCCTTCTAGAGGGCCCCTCCTCAATCCTGTTGTACTAGATCCAGAGGGTTGGGCGGAGGCTCTCCTGAAGGCCTCTGCATAACACCGCGTCATGGACCAGGTGTCAGGTGCTAAGATGGGGTGGTTGGTGCAAGAGGAGGGCCACCGTCTTCTGCCTGGTCCCCTACAGCGGGCAGAGGGCATGAGCATGAGACCATCATCTGCCTGGTTCCCTGTAGTGCTGGGAGGGCATGGGCGCGGGGCCTGGCTGCGCTGTTTCTCTGTTGTTTCCAGGGCTCCTCGCTGCTCGAGACCACTGCACACCTCATCTCGGCCTTGAAACCTGCAGGACCTGCCACCGCCCACGGCCATGCCTGCTCCCACTCCTGAGGCTCTTCCCGCCCTCTCTGCCCTCCTCCTCCCCCTACTCCTCACTTGGCTTCGTGGCACCTGAGCATCTCGGTCTTTGCTGGACGAGTCACTTGTCGTCCGGCTCTGCTAGACTGCGAGCTCCAAGGCGAGGCCAAGCTGCCTTGTGCATTGTTATGTCATCTAGCTTGTCTCCACACATGGCACACAGCAGGTGCCTAATAAACGTGTGCAGAAAGAGTGATGGATGTCTTTCTCTTATTTGTTCTTCTTGGAGCCCAGCTCTGTGCTTGCTGCAGTCCTAGAAGCGAGTACATAGCACCTTCTCACTCGCTTGGCCCGAGGTTGCTTCTAACTCATGGTTGTTGCTTGGGGGGTCTCACTGGAAAGTTGTCACCCCTACTGCTGCCCAGACCAGGCCGGCCCCACTGCGAGTCCCCACTTGCTCTTTTCCTTCACAGAGCTTACTGCAGCCTGGGATTGGGCGCTTACTGTCTTACTGCCTGTCTCCCCAAGGCTAAACCCCAAAAGGGCAGGACTTTCTCACACACTTAGAACAGGGAAGGATTTGGGTAACTGCTGCATGGACGGACAAGTGGATGGGCAGAGCAAAACCATGAAAAGATGTGAAAAAGGCAGCAGAAGTATGACATAAGCAGAGTCCTAACCCTTCGTGGGGGCACGGCCTAGGGGGAGGCTCTGGGTGTGGCCAGGAGGAGTTGGGGTAAGAGATGTCCCCACAGCTATCCTGGGGACAAATGGGTGCACTCCTTCCATTAGAGCCAGTGAAGTCTCAGACTGGCAAGAGCAGTGGGCCTTCCACTCATGGTGGGCCCCACACGGAGTTGACAGGGTCCAGCGGTTCAAGGACCCTGAAGTCCACTCATACCAAGCCTTCCAGCAGCCGTGGCCTCCATGGCTGGAGCAAGGCAGCAGGGGTGGGGGTGCAGCTCTGAGGTGCCCACTCTGCAAGAGACGCGGCCGGGCCCAGGGGGCTCCGTTCTGGGGGCTGTCGGTGGGGGTGCTGGGAGCCGGGCTCTGTGGTGATAGCAAGCCAGGAAGCCACCAGCGGCTCTGCCCTCTGCCTGGGCCCTGTGAGTCACGCCAGGCAGGTGTGGGTAGCCCCCCAGGCGAGGTTACAGGCGGAAAATGGGATGAGAGGTCAAGGGCCAAGAAATGAGAGCGAAGCCACCAGACACATGGGCCTCTGGACGCAGCCTGAAGACAAGGGGAGGTAGCCTCCTGCCCTATTCTCTGGCTGAGGCTGGCACTGCAGCCCTCTCCCTTCAGGCTGTGTCTTGGACACCCGGGACGGGAAGGTCCCGCCTGCCCTGCCAGCTCCAGTCCCCACCGCGGCCCCAGACCTGCCCCAGCCCTGTGGAAGGCCTGGCCTCCCCTCCCTCCGCCTGCCACTCGGTTTCTGTCGGGAAAATCCAGCGTGTCCCCGCAGGCTGACCTTCCTCTGGTGGCTTCCTCCCTGCTCCCGCAAAAAAGGTGGGAAATCCTTCTGGGCGGAGCTTGCTTCCCGTGGGGAGAGGAAGGTGCCGAACATGGAGATGGGTGTTGGGAGGTGACTTGCTCTGCGGGAAAGGAGCTGGGGAGAGGGTTGGGAGCCAAAGGAGGCGCCCGGCGTTGCTCCCTCGGCGTGCCCCCCAGGGCTGGGTCGTCTGGGCACTGCTGACACCTGGGGCTGTGGCGTCTCTGCAGGGCCATCTAGGGTGTTTAGCAGCCTGCCTGGCCTCCACCTTCTCAGTACCAGGAGCTACCACCACCCCACTGTGACAACCAGAAAGGTCTCCAGGGTTGACCAATGTCCTCTGGGGAACAGTCACCCCAGGTTGAATACTACGGGCGTCCAGATAGCTCACACAAACCACCTTGACCTGGTTAGCCAAAGAGAGAAAAGATGAGTGTGCTCAGCACATGGCCCAGGGCCCTCTTCACAGTGGCCTGGACACGACTGCCCCAGGGCGGCTGGTGTGGAAGGAGAGTCTGTCTCTGTCCAGGGGGCCTAACACAGAGCCTGATGGAGAGAGAAGGAATTCCTGGAAGGTGGGTGTTCAGGGGTGGGTACACACATTCCCTCATGTTCAGGGGTGGGTGTACACATATTCCCTCATGTTCAGGGGGGTGTACACACATTCCTTCGTGTTCAGGGGTGGGTGTACACACATTCCCTCATGTTCAGGGGGGTGTACACACATTCTCTCGTGTTCAGGGGTGGGTACACACATTCCCTCATGTTCAGGGGTGGGTGTACACACATTCCCTCGTGTTCAGGCGTGGGTGTACACACATTCCCTCGTGTTCAGGGGTGGGTGCACAAACATTTCCTTGAGTTCAGGGGTGGGTACACACATTCCCTCATGTTCAGGGGTGGGTACACACGTTCCTTCATGTTCAGGGGTGGGTTCACACAATCTCTCATGTTCAGGGGTGGGTGTACACACTCTCTCGTGTTCAGGGGTGGGTACACACATTCCCTCATGCTCATGGGCAGGTACACACATTCCCTCATGTTCAGGGGTGGGTTCACACAATCTCTCATGTTCAGGGGTGGGTGTACACACTCTCTCGTGTTCAGGGGCGGTACACACATTCCCTCATGTTCAGGAGCGAGTACACACATTCCCTGGTGTTCAGGGTTGGGTACACACATTCCCTCATGTTCAGGGGTGGGTACACATTTCCCTCATGTTCAGGGGCGAGTACACACATTCCCTCATGTTCAGGGGTGGCTACACACATTCCCTTGTTTCAGAGGTGGGTACACATATTCCTTCATGTTCAGGGGTGGGTACCCACATTCCCTCATGTTCAGGGGGGGTGTACACACATTTCTGCATGTTCAGGGGTGGGTACCCACATTCCCTCATGTTCAGGGGTGGGTGTACACACATTCTCTCGTGTTCAGGGGTGGGTACACACATTCCCTCATGTTCAGGGGTGGGTACACACATTCCCTCATGTTCAGGGGTGGGTGTACACACATTCCCTCGTGTTCAGGGGGGTGTACACACATTCCTTCGTGTTCAGGGGTGAGTACACACATTCCCTCATGTTCAGGGGTGGGTGTACACACATTCCCTCATGTTCACGGGTGGGTGTACACACATTCCCTCATGTTCAGGGAGGGTGTACACACATTCCTTCGTGTTCAGGGGTGAGTACACACATTCCCTCGTGTTCAGGGGTGAGTGTACACATATTCCCTCATGTTCAGGGGTGGGTGTACACACATTCCCTCATGTTCACGGGT